TAAACGGCCTTTGGATTACTTTTCTATTGTAAACAGCGATCTTGACGGATGTCTGAAAGAGCTTTTTACTACACGCAATTAATCGATGTTGCCCCGGCACGCGCTCTATGTAGCATTGTCGTGCGGCGGTTGGTGACATTTGCCCGAATTGTGGCGCTTTATAGCTCCACGAGATGGCGACGGTGGTAACATACAGGTGTTTATTCTGTCTCGTTACACTCTAAGTAACGAGTAACGTAACGTAATTACTTTTTAAAAGTAACTTACCCAACACTGTATTAATAATCATTTGATGCCTGGTGATGTTGAGAATTTCCTCGTTCATAATAACTTTTCGAAAAGATGGAATGTTAGTTATACAAATTTTTAAATCATGCAATTTAGTCAAGTTGTCAAATTCGAAACAACAAACACATTCTTTATCAGTTTTCATAGTTGTACATTTCTTGCATAAACACCAATCTTTGATTTCCTTTTTTGTTCTTTCGTCGCAACTAATCGCCACTAACGGATTAACCGATATTGTTTCTAACGTTGTTTCATCAATATCTTGTAGGGTAGGTTCAAAACAATAAGGCTGTAAACTCATTTTTCCTGTTCACTTTTAAATAATATACAATTTAACAATTTATATACGATGGTCACAAATATTCAGTGTAGCGAGCGTTATTGATGACACGCCGACTGGCAACGACGCTTATTGACTGTAGGACATAGACCTTATAAAAACCATAGACCTTATACTCATAGACGGAGCATCACCGGTTGGCGGGGTTGGGTGGTGCGGTCAAAGTTATTACCATAGCATTATAGCAGTGTTGTCATTTCTGTCCCAATATTTTACGCTCAACCAAGGAACGCAGTGTATCAGATCCAAATGACTGTTTTAAATCAAATATTAACCATTATTGAATGATTTTTAGAAAACAACAACCGATCGCCCAACCTGAAATTCTATTGCGCATGTGCGTAGTAATTGAGTAATAGTCGAACAGCGCACTCACGTCTGACCGCTGGAACTATACCCATGCTCCGTCTATGAGTACAAGGTCTATGCTGTAGGATACCTAATATAATATTATTATCTGTGTTTATTTTCGTAACGCCAGTTTTATAAAATATATTTTTAGATCGTTGTCAAATGTGTGATTTCCTCCTCATGCGGATAAACACTGTCAACTGTTTCTAAATATTATCAATATTACTTATTGTACATACTGTATAGATTGTAATTTTTCAAATAAAGCCAATAATATATTACACTATTATAATGATAATATTATGTAGGTATAACAGTAATTGTAATTAATATTGGTAATAATAATCTTGAAGTAATTTTTATCATAATTTAGGTTTAAAAATGCTAATCTGTTCGGCTTATGGATGCTCTGAAAGTGATGAAAGTTCGAAACGTTTACATTTCTACAAATTTCCAAATCTTGAAAAATCACCAAACAGACACAAAAAATGGATAGATTTTTGTAAACGAAAAAACTTTAAGCCATCCAAAAATTCTAGGTTGTGTTCCAAACATTTTAAACTTGAAGACTTTAATCAATCTGGTGTTCTTAGAGAAAAATTGATGCCTGATACTAAAGTCAGAATAAATTTGAATTCTGGAGTAATACCTACTCTACGATCCGAAACAATTGATTTATTACCTAGTAAACGTGATTTAAGAGTAAAACGTAGGTATTACACAGAAACTGCAAGTTTGATTCCATCAAGTACACCAGAAAAATCGATGCTAGTAGAAAACTACGATGGGATTAATTTTAGTGACACAAGCTTAGATACAGATATTTTAGAGAAACTAAGTAATCCAAATGATAAGAGTGTACAGTGTGAAATTGGAAAAGCTATTTATACAAATTTAGAAGTAAATGATGATTTATCATTCGATTTTTCATCAGAATCCAGCGATGAATCTTGTTCTTTTCTTCCGACCACCTAGTATGTGTGAGTGCCTGATAAAAGTATTCTCATTAAGAAAGTGGCATGTCATTCCTAGGTAGCTTTTGTTGTTACACGACCATATATCAGATGTTGTGCATATATATGTTTGTTTTGATATTAAGTCCGTCAACATTGTAACATAGGAATTATACCTTAAATGTAAATCTTTTCTTATAACTTTTGTGTTGGGAAGTACAGCAGAATCTGTTATTCCAGCAAGGCCCATGATAAGTCTTTTGAAGGATGGTTTTTGACAGGTTGCAAGTGGTCTCATCTCTTGTACTATGTAGTCAAAGACTAGGTCAGTAATCTAAAACCAAAAATTAATTAATATATACAAATAAATAAGCAATCAACATAAACCAACATTTTATGAATTGAATATTACAACTTCATTCCTCAAAACAGTAATATAAAAAAAAACACCTTTCAAACTTTGTAAACTTGTAAATTTGATAACTTTCAGTTATAATATTTAAAAAAATTCATACTTTAAATTGTTTTATTTACTTTTGTAATAATATTTACTATTACTGTTTCTAAGAACTTTATTATTTTAATAGTAGGTTCATAATATAGTATACATAACATCAAAAAATACGTATTTATTATTTTACTTATATGTATAATGTACCTACAGTACTCATGTTAAATAATAGGTATATCAATTAAACATTATAAATTATTATACCTTTGTCCTTGACTTTAATAAAATAAAATGTTTTTAAATAATTTATTAATATTTATTATGAGTTATTCAATACTAATTAACTCACTTTATTTTTAGGCATGTTCTTTGACTGGCACAATTGTAGTTGAATTTGTGACTGGCGATTTGATGATGTTGATGATGTCATGCCGCTTACATCTAAAAATAAATATGGTGTAAATTATCATGCGCTTAATTCATAGATAAAATATTATGATTAAGATATAGGTACGATTAATTTACTCACTGGAATCTGATATGGTAATGTTTTTTTCCTTGCTCTTTTGTAATTTTGTCAATATTGATGAATGCTTATACTAAAACAACCAACAGGTATAACGGGTATTTTATTACATAGTATTATCCGAATGTATCTGATACTACTATAAGTATTCAGTAGTAATGAATACCTATCAATTTTTATGTTTTGTTTAGTTTCTCGCAATGATCATTAGTTATTACTTATTACTTATTACTTTATTAGGTACCTACTATTGAGTATTATTTGATAAATAATTTATAGGTTTACTGTATACACGGTGGCACTGAACGCAATTTAAAATGGGGTGGCAAACTAGTAAACAATTACCAAATACCCACCCATCCAGAACCGTTAAATTAAACATATGTGGCTATACCTCAACGTTATCATTAGAAACTTTTGATCATTATTGTAATAATTTATTATGAAACACTCAGTATCTATCCGCCAAATTGTTTTCTGTTAGATATTTATCCATCTGCATAACAAGACCCACCACCCACCCATTTAAAAGGGCAATAATCTAGGATGTAACATATTAAGTATAGACATATAGTAGGTATCTATCTAAGAAATACCTATTATTTACTACACATTAAGATCTAAATTAAATAGAAAACTACTTACTTACTTAACTTTACTACCTACTTAATAGGTATTTATTTATTAAATCAGTTAATTTTGTTGTTTGAAAAATGTCAAATATATTTTTTTTAATATAATCAATAATACCTAGTTACCTACTACAATATTATACATTTATACATAATATATATTTAGGTAAGTAAGGTAGTAGGTACCTTAATATGAATTACAAAATTCCCTGTTGAATTGATTTGACCCTTTGGAACACATTTGACATTTAGCCGTAAGTCTTTTCTCATCAACTTGTACAACTTTATAAAACTGTCCATCAAATAAATAGTGGTTTGAAAATAATACATCAACATCAGTCGTAATTTTCTTTTGATCAATCTCGATAATATCGGTAGTTGTAGGCGTTATAGCTAATGCAGGATTGTCAATAATCTCGTTGTTTTCATTTTTCTTATTAGGATAATTCACTGAACTTGTTAGAAATCGCTTCATAATTAATTTCTTCACTTACTGATTCTTCTGTTGGATGACGAGTGACGACTGCACTCGCTACAGACTGCGGTTATATACTTATATAATATATCGCTACCTTAACACTGACAACACGTATCTGTATTTATGCTACTTTTCAGGAGAGCCAAAAAACTGTCTAATTATTTAAGTAAACTAAATTAAAATATGCTGCTTCCTTATAAAAATAACCAATACCATGTTTGATAATCTAATCAATAAATTTCATAAAAAAAAATGTTTTCAAGCCCAAAGTAGTAGATACGAGGTATTTACAAAATATTATTATTTTAATTTGTAGATACGTGTCTTTTATTTAGCATAATATTATAATAATATAGTACTAATTTACGGACACATTGTATTATGTAATGAACAAAATAACACTAATTGGAGTGATGTTTAATGTATTGGAAGTTTTAATTTCAAGTTTTCGTTGTTATATCCAAAGATAATATAATATGATAATATTAATATAATATAGGTAATCAATATAACATACCTAAATGCAATATTTTTTATTTATTTTATCATAATATTTAACAAAATTAAAGTACTCAATCCCTGAGGTTTTAATATTATTAAAAACAATACATAATAAGATTTGAACATAAAATAATAATAACAATTCATAATAATGTAGGTNATAAAATAATAATAACAATTCATAATAATGTAGGTAATATAAAAACATTGTAATATCCAGACCTTAAGAAATCAGTCTTAGAAAAAATAATAATGACTGTTCTTCATAATATTAACAATTAATAAATTAATAGAGTACTCAATCCCTGAGGTTTTAATATTTTTAAAAACATTATACATAATAATATTTTGAGCATAAAATTAAAAATAATAACAATTCAGAATAATGTAGGTAATATTTAAAAACATTGTAATATCCAGACTTTAAGAATTAATCAGTCTTAGAAAAAATAATAATGACTGTTCTTCATAATATTAACAATTAATAAATTAATAAAGTACTCAATCCCTGAGGTTTTAATATTTTTAAAAACATTATACATAATAATATTTTGAGCATAAAATTAAAAATAAAATAACAATTCAGAATAATGTAGGTAATATTTAAAAACATTGTAATATCCAGACTTTAAGAATTAATCAGTCTTAGAAAAAATAATAATGACTGTTCTTCATAATATTAACAATTAATAAATTAATAAAGTACTCAATCCCTGAGGTTTTAATATTTTTAAAAAAATTATACATAATAATAATATTGAGCATAAAATTAAAAATTAAAATTAAAATTCATAATAATGTAGGTAATATTTAAAAACATTGTAATGTCCAGACTTTAAGAATTAATCAGTCTTAGAAAAAATAATAATGACTTCTTCATAATATTAACAATTAATAAATTAATAAAGTACTCAATCCTTGAGGTTTCATTATTATTAAAAACATACATAATAATATTTTGAGCATAAAATTAAAAATAACAATTCATAATAATGTAGGCAATATTTAAAAATGTTGTGATGTTTTTATAAATTAAATTATACTTTACCAGTTCTAGCTCTAAATGTTGTAGTATGTGGCAATGTATCATAGAAAGAATGTGTGTCTTTGGGTAAAAACTTTTTAAGATTTTGTAGGTCATTCCATTTTGATAGACTGATAGACAATGGTTTACCGTAGAGATTCTTGTAATTAATTGCTGTCATGTCAATTCTAGGATTTCTTCTTAATGGTAATTCACAATAAGGGTCATCAAATACTAACTTATATAATATACATTTATGTATGGGGTTATACTGTAGAGCTCTCAAGTCTTTGACTTCTGGGTCTCCTTTTCCTTTTCCAGGTCTGATGGTATTATATACAATATGAGTTTTAAAGTCCAGGAAAAAATCGTGACTCAAAAGAGTTGCTCCAAAAGCTGTTGGATTTTTTCTGGCATCTTTAGTTATTTTTATAAAATCTGAAGGAAGGTAAATATCTTGACCCTTTAACTTTCTTTCAATAAGACAATGAGCACTATCACAAGGCATTTGTGTGTGGCCTTTTACAAGAAATTTTTGTTCAATGATAACTCCATATTTTATTGAGAAATGAAGAAGTGCGTTGGCTATTATTATATTCCTGTTTTGATAACCACAACCATCAGAGTATAATATAATTGGTCTTTTATCATTTATGCAAAATTTTTCCAAATGTTTGATAATTATAGTTGTAAATATTGATGCTTCCAGTTCACCCTCACCCTCATGCCACCAATAGTTTTCACAGTGGCCTGTACTGTTGTTATACAATGTCATATTATGAACCTTCAGCTTCATTGAATAATATAGGGCACTGTTTTGTAAATATGGACATAATTTAACAGCCTGGCAATCCATTGTATATAAGTAGCATTTATTTTCTTTGGCTAATAGAGTGTCTTTTTCCAATTCTTCCCTAGCTCTATTTTTATGTGCAATGTGCTCAGCAAAGTCATCTTCCTCAACTTGTCCCATTTCATATGATGAACAATAATCACATTTATCTTTTCTTGGCATAAAAATAGAAAACTTTTTTTGTTTCATAAAGCTGTAAAAATAACAAATACTTAATGGTATAATACTGTCTTCAGTGCATTTGGATTTGTAAAGTTCAAAAACTTCTGATTTATGCATAAATGGACCTTCTAAGTAAAGCCTATTGGTTTTTTTCCGACAATAATGTGAAGGCATTTTAGCTAGACTGGAAAACCAATTTTCTAAGTGATCAATTCTTTTGTTCATTGCAACCCTTTTAGGTGTAATAATAATATTATCATTACTAATGTCGTTGACTTTTGTTTTTTTCCCAGCTAGTCCATGAGTTGATTCCTTTAACCAATTGTGCAACATCCATTCATTCATATCAAGTGTATTTAAAAACATTTTCTTACAAACTTCCATAGGCTCTTCAT